GGGGGGGGGTCCGCGACGGGGTGGCCGTCGGGGAGACCAGGATGGGCCAGGTGTAAGGATAGTAAGGTCTATAGGTGGGCAGTGGAAGGACACCCAATGTCCCACCCCCATGTCCCCCTGGAGCACCTGGGCGGGGACTCTGGGCAGTGACTGGCAGGTGAGGAGCAGAGGGCAGCTCAGCTGCTCTACCTCTGTATTCCAGGACACAGGGACACACCCACGACCGTGTGCAGGCAGGCGGCTGGGGCTACGCTGGGAAAGCTGAGCCGGGGGCTTGGGCGGGCCAGGCCTTTTTCCCTGACCTCAGGTTTCGGGTTAGGGATCTCGCACTGGTCCAGTCTGCAGATGTTCCACGCCCCATAATCGGACACCCGCCACACACTGGCCCAGGCACCGCAGATGACAGGCTCCACCCGCCACACTCTGGCAGAACAGACCAAGTGTAGGACTAACCCAGCCCCAGGAACTTGGGGATCCCCGCCCCATTCAAGAGCATCACAGACGAGGTGTGTGTGGTCCGCCCGTGGGTTAGCATGAAGACAGGCTGCCCAGCCGCTGTGTGGCCTGTCCCTCCCAGAACCGGGCACTGCAGGCCCATCACCCGGGTGCCCGTGTGCACCGTAATCGCACATGGGCTCTGAAAGCTCGGGGACGGGCACTGAGCCTTGGCGCCACAGATGACCTGCACACAGCTAAGAGATCAGGTGGCTCCCGGGCCACCTACTAGGGCGGCCAGCCGTGCGGCCCCTACTCTAGGCTCGGAGCTCTGAGCTCAGAACGCCTGCCTGTGGCGGGTGTGTGGATGTCAGCCACCTTCCATGTCCAGGGAGGGTCCAAGCACCAGGGCTGTCCTCTCTGCTGCTGAGGGGTCCCGTGCCTCCCTCGGGAGAGGGCGGTCCAAGATGTCACCTGCAGCGCTCTCCACACACCCTCTGCCTGGGCATCCAGGTGTGAGACGGGAGGGGCAGAGCCTCCTGGCAGAGGCAGCCTGTCCCTCCAGCTGGCCCTGGAAAGCTGCGTCCTCAGAGGGCATGGGAGCACCCACAGGGGACCCAGGGAGTGGTCGGCGGGAAGGCCCGGTGTGTGCGGCAGGGGGCCCGCAGCCCCGGCAGCCTTACCGTGCTATCTTGTCGCTGCAGGACATGGTCAGCAGCCTCTCCCCCTGTAGCACCCCATCCCACGTCTGGATGCTGGCGTTCGACCGCACCGGGATCGTCCCCTCGCCAGACTCAATTTTTGTCCGCAGCTGTCCCCTCGCTTTGCGGTTTGGATGTCGATCTGAGGGTTCTGAGAGAGAAAGCAAGTTCAAAGGTCAGGGTGGAGCACCAGGCCGTGGCACGTCCAGGCCTGAAGTACCTGCACACATGCAGCACGTTCATGCCACCTACCCAAGATACTCATGCAGCTCAGGTTTACAGAAAGGACTCAAGAAGGGGCCTCCGTGGGGGCCGGGCAAGGAGCCTTCCATCCCCACTGAGACGATTTCCATCAAGACAACGGTGGGAGAGAACAGGAGGAAGCACCCAGGGCTGCTGACTCGGCCAGGGGCATTTGCAGTAGCTTACCCCTTGTACATCAAAGAGCTTTCTGTAAGGTGTGCCGGCACACAGCCACCATTAGCCCTGGGGCACCCACTGAGTGGTTTCCACTTTCTTTCTCATAGATTTCTTTAATATCTTTACTTCATTTTTATGTGGTGCTGAGGACCGAACCAGGCGAGTGCTCCACCCCTGAGCCCCAGCCCCAGCCCCTCTTTCTCATATTTTAATAGCAGCCACTCGCTGGGGGACGACATTGGCTTTATAATCCAGGAAGAGGATGTCACCAACCCTGCAGTGTGGACGCACATGCCCAACCTTGGGAGAAGGACATGGATACAAACTGCCACAACCAGGGCACTGGCCGGCGGTGACGGTGGCCCACTTGGCACCAGTGTCCACCGCTCCTGAAGTAGCAGCTGTGTGCTTGGGAGCGAGTCAGGGAGTTAGTCGCCACACACACGAGCACCGGGCACCCGATGCAGACACTCGGGCGTGGGTGTGGGTACGACTTTGGTCCGACACCTTCACCCTGTTCTCAGGACTCAGTTAATCAGAAGTTGCATTTTCCTTTCTTGCTTTAGAATTGGCATTTTGCATTCATTAGCGTTTTCTAGTTCAACGGCCACTTGGGAAGAAGCAGCCCATGCTGTGACGGCATCTCCCATCGGACCCACACCCAGGACACCGCGTGCTGCGCCTGCCCTCTCTACGGGGTAAGTTTCCTTGAGGACCTGCTGCCTGCTGGTCCAGCCTCACACCTTCGAGCACCGGCTCGTGGGGCGAGAATATCCGGGCGTCTCCGCAGGGAGAGGTGCTGATGTACAGGTGGAACTGCACGGTGTCCTTCAGCCGGAACCCTCCGCGCTCCGACTTCTGGAAGATGGAGCTCTTCTGGTCCTCTTTGCTACTGCAAAACCAACAAACAAAGGAGCAGTGGCAGGGTGACCTGAGCTGCTTGGGTTGAGAGGCAGGGTTTTCAGGGTGCTTCCCACAGGCAGGCCGGCTTCGGGGGACCTCAGGCCACCTCGGGGAGGGCCAGGTCATTGAGCAAGAGCGACTCCTGCCCCCCATGCATGTTTTCAGACAGCCAGACACAGCGCGTGGCCTGGCAGAGGAAGGTCAGGCCAGGCCTGGGGCCCTGCAGCGTGGGAGGCTCCTCACGTCCACATTGCAGAGCGGGACCACACGGCCTTTGCAGGCCTGGGCACCACAGCCCGGCCACGTCCACAGGGCGTGTGCCTGCACCTGTGCCTGCGCATGTGTTCCTGACTCGGTGGCTCTTGGGACTGAGCGCGGGCAGAGCAGGGCAGCAGCGGGATCACGCCCACATGCTGTTCCAGGGTCTGCACCGCGTCAGGGGCTCCGCACTCACTTCAGGTAGAGCTCCAGCTGCGTGTAGAGGAACCTGAGCAGGGAGCGGCGGGCGATGATCTCCGCGTGGCAATCGTTCAGCGCCAAGCCGCGGTCGCTCATGTACTCCCCATTGATGCACTTGGTCCCCGTGGACACACTGATCACCTTGGCGTCCTTCACGTCTGTGCCTGGAGGGCAGGAGAGCGCTGCAGCCACGCAGGAGGCGCCCAGGCCCTCCAGGTCACAGATGATGAGCCGCCCCGCCGCCTGCCGCCGCCTGCCCGCCTGCGCTCACAGCTGCCCAGCCCGTCCCGGAGCACAGGGCCCTCATGCAGCAGGGCAGGTGCACTGCCCCCCCACTGCCCAGGAACGCGGCACCGTGAAGAGACTGGCCAGCCTGGGAGTGAGGGTGAAGCCAGAACCAAATCGCCCAAGAGGTGCAGCAGAGGGCTCAAAGGTGCCGAGGCCCCTCACGTCGAGAGCCCGTCACGTTCAACCATGCTGGCGAGGGGCCACCTGGGACAGCCTGGCGGGACAGGCCACAGGCCCAGAGACTGGTGTGAGCTGGGTGGGGCTCAGGGTACAGCCTAGCACTTGCCTAGGCCCAGAGGCCCTGGGTCCCATCCCTGTGCCAGAAGAGACACAGTGACCTGGGTGGGGGCTGGTGGCAGCCTCGCCTTGTGGCCAGGGCTGAGAGGTGCCAGGGGCAACGCCCTGGCAGACCATCCTCAGCAGGCTGACTCCCGACAATGCCAGGCCAGTGCTGCTGCCCCCTGGCTTTAGACGCACTTTTGGCTTTCAGCCAACGATCACGGGAAGATTCAGCACGTGGTGCCACCTCTTCCCCGGTGACTGGGCACCTGAGGAAGGAGCAGCTGGCCTCTCCCCTGAGGGCACAGAGCTCGCAGGGAGCCAGCTCACAAGTGGCACCCTAAGACCGGCAGGCCACGGCCAGCAGCACAGCCATGACCACAGCAGCCACGGCTCCCGGGCACCAGGCTGAGCACCAGATTCATGTCCCCCTACGACTTGAAGAGGTGGCCACCTTGGGAGAGGGGCCACGGTGCCCCGCACAGGGAACCAGGTTTCTCCCTGGCTGGCAGGTGTCACCCTCCCCACCTCCCTCCCTGCCTGGCCTCTGCCTGCACCGGAGAGTCCATGCTGGGTGACCCCGGCTGGGAGTAGAGCCCCCAGGAAACAGGGTCCTCTCCTGGGCCCACCCCACCCAGGGGCCAGGCACTGGCTTTTCCTCAGAGTTTCCAGGGAGGACCCCAGCTTCTTTCACTCCTGGAAACTTCCGGAAGAAACTGAGGAATGACCAGCGCTTCCCCCGCCCCCTGACCTGCACTCCCCAGCCGTCCTGCCCCTGGTTGAGCCCCTCCCCGGCAGCCTCGCCTGGTAGCCAGGCTCCCGGTCAGCTGCCTCAGGACAGGCGGAGGCCAGAGGCCGTCCACAGGAGGGGACAGGAGGAGCCCTCCTGGGTGGCCTGGGCGTCAGGCCCGACTGCTGTGCCCTGGGCTGGATGGCCCGACTCTGCCGAGCTGCACCGCGGCCAGGGGAGGGCCCAGGGCAGCTACTGCCCGCACACAGAGCCCCGCCCATGAGAGCAGACCACACAGGGAGAGAGGAGGGTAGACAGGTGGACACGGCTACCTGTGGTCATGACGACTCCGGCCAGCACTTTTCTGCGTGCGTGAGGTGAGGAGAAGTTGTCTGTCAGGTCACTGAACTTACCCAGGACCAGGCGCGAGACGGCGTCTGCCAGCACCTGGGGAGGAAGGACCCGAGGTCAGGCCTCGTACACCTGGGAGCCAGCGCCTCTCCATGCCAGCACACGCGGCCCCTCACACAGGGACGCTGGCGGACCATGGCCACCCCAGGGACCACTGGGTAAAGGTGACAAATGTGTGTTTCCTCCAAAACATCCCTCGAAACAGGGGCCAAAATGTCATGCGGGACTCAGCTGGGGTCCTCCAGGCCCCCAGCCCCCCTCACCTGGGGAAACCCAGCCCTGGATCTGCTGCCCTGCCTGCTGACCCTCAGCCACCCTGCTGTGGCCACAGCACTTTCAGGGAGGGAACAGGTCCTCTTTGGCCCTCCTTGTGACAAAGGGCAGCGGGAGGAGAAGTGCTCAGGCCGCACGTGAGTGCGAGCGGCACTGAGTCCGCCGGGAGGGGGCGGTGCCAACACGGCAGGGGGGACGCCTGGGCACAGGGTGCCCTGCTGGAGGCAAGTGCCTCTGTCAGGCCCCGAGGTGGCTTCTCGGCTTCAGATTCATCTTGGAGACAGTGACAGAGTCTTTGGGGTGTCAAGCCAAGTCTGCCAGATGCCACCAACTCACCTGTCGCACAACCCAGTGGCCCCGGCCAACCCTGTCCCCTGATCCTCGGGAAGCGCGTCCACAGCGCACGGCAATGCCACTGCTCCCAGGGGCCACCCTCCTTGGGCAGGACTGTCCCCGTCACTGCACAGTAGATACCAGGGCACCCAGAGCACAGGCCAGGGCAGGTGTGGTGTGCTGGACCCCCCACGCCCCCTCAGCCCTGGGGACATCAGCAGCACAGGCCTGAGGGCGGACAGGGGCCAGCGAAGAAGGCCATGCAGGGCACTCACAGCCCGGGCAGCAGGTGGGACTCAGCCAGGAAACCAGCTGCCGTTGCCTGGGGGCAGCCCAGCACCAGTGCCCGGGGAGCGGAGAGCTAGAACCACGAGGGGAGGTGGCCTCGCGCCCTGTGGTGCAGAAGCAGCCCCCTCTGGGTCCAGGTGGCTGTGATGTGGAGGTAGCAGGCTCTGCCAGCCAGGCCAGGCCACGCGTCCCAGGAGCCACACAGTAGCCCGGGAGCCTCCACAGCCTGCCCAGCCCTGAGGTGGGTGAAACCCGGCAGACCTCACGTGGCCAACACTCTGAGCTCCCTAACCCTGTGCCAGAAATGTGGGGAGGCGGTCCTGAACCAGAAGGCTGGGCCTGGGGCCTTCCAGGGACCCCAGGACAACAGCAAAGACCCCTGTCCACTCCAAAACAGGTGCTCTGAAACCTCCAGGCAGAAAACCGCAGAGCCCAGCAACATGCCCAGCAGGACCAGTCCTAGGAAAGCCCACCCTGGTCCTTTGAGCAACACAGGACCCGCCTGAGCCCCGAGGGCGTCAGGAGACACTGCGGAGGGCTGAGCGGACACAGGAGGGGACCCAGGAGGGTTGGGAGGACATAGCTCCCACCCGAGGTTCTGGACTACAGAGGGCCAGAAGCAAGCCGGGGCCTGCCAGCCGTGCCCCTCCCCACAGCCAGGCCCCACTAGAAGCCCTCCCAAGCTGGACACTTGGTCCTCTCCTCACTGAGGTGGCTGAGGCACGGCCAGGCCATGTACCCCTGGGCACGCTTCCATCTGCTTCCCTGCGCTGTCCATGTCCCCTCGGGGCCTGGGTGAAGACCCACAGCAGCTGAGCACGCAGGGCCTGGAGAGCACCGTGGACAGGGACGATGGGCACGGCAGACTTCTGCGCCAGTGGAGAAGCCCAAGCCAGGCACGGGCCCAGGGTGAGGCATCCCTGGGGAACCGCTGCTGCCAGTCTGCACAGCGGCAGCCGACCAGCAGCTCGGGAGCGATGCTGGCCAGGGCCAATGCGGGAAGCAAGCACTGGTTCCCCACGGCATCAGCTGCCCCTCCATGCTGACGCGGCATTCAGTCGCTAGAGGCAGAAGAGAACCAGTTCCTCCTCTGCAGAACTCCTGGTCCCAGACTCCAGCTGCAGGGGTCAACAGAAACCCCGTATTGGTCCCAGGAGGATGTCAGCCTGCCTGGTCCAGGTCTGGGGGGTGCACCGCCTCCCCAGAAGAAGGCACGGGAAGAGGAAGCAGCACAGGAGTGGAATGCGGTCCTCACCACAGACCAGCGGGACTCAGGCTCCAAGGACAGAAGCAAGACTGCAGCAGCTGGGCCTCCAGAGAGCCAGGACGCCCACTCCCTCCCTCTCGGATGCCACCAGAGCCACTGCAGCTCCCTCTCTTCACCTTGATTTTATCAGGGGACAAACCTCAGAGGCTGCCCATGTCCAGTCCAGCAGGAAGGAGCCTCACACAGGTGCCACGCAGGGCAGTCAGGGTGCAGAGACTCCTGGGCAATGGTAGGCCCTGGAGTGCTTGTGGATGCTCCTCTGGCATGTGGTCCCTATTGCCCCCAGCACCTTCTCTGCCCTGCTAGGCTGCTGCCTGGGGAATGCAGCCTGGGTCTCCTGGCTGCCCGTAGTGGTCCAGCCAGCAGCCCTGACCTGGTGCACAGACTCCCCTGGGGAGGTGAGTGAGCATTCGCTGAGGGGCCATGTCCAGTGTTGGGCTCTCCCCATCCTGACAGGGCTTGCTGTGGGGACCACAGGTCATGACTGAGACTCTGGCCTGGGGACGGGGTCTTGGGAGTCCCTGCACTGCCCTTGACAGCCCCAGCGTGCACTAGGGACCATGGTCTCTCCCCCATCCGGCCATGAAATCAAGGAGAGCTGCCCTGCCAGACTTACCAGCCCACCTCCTGCTGAGGCAGAGCCCACGCTGCGCAGTGTGGCCAGGCGCGGGGCTGCTGCTCCAGCACGCGCCTCTTACCTGTGGCAGGTGCAGCTGCAGCCCCTCGCTGGGCACGGGCTGGCGTGATGGCGTCTGGTCCAGGTGCAGGTTGAAGATGGTGGCCAGGGCCGATTGTGCAGCCCGAGCCTTGGCCAGCTTCTTGTTCCTGCCCGACCCCTCGAAGAACTGGCCGTCCACCACCACGGACATGACGAAGCTCTTGGCATGGCTCTCCCCGCTCTCAGAGAGGAAGTCATACTTCAGCCCTGGACGCAGCTCGTTCAGGATCATCACAGGGTTCTTCCCGCTGGGCGGCGGGAAGGGTGGTGGGCCCGGCAGGGGGGGCTGGGCAAGGCTGGCGGGCACAGGTGAGGCCGACAGGCTGAGGTCCCCGCTGGAGCTGAGGGACTCGTCTCCGTTGGAGCCCATGCAGAAGGACTCCACCCGGTCTGGGGTCTCGAAGCCATTGAAGAGCGTGTCAGGGAAGTCGGCCTGGTCAGAAGTGAAGTCTGTGTGCACGGACAGGGTCCTACCCATAGCCAGGTGGGCCTCGGAGGCATTGGGAAACTGGACGAAGGACCTCAGGGCCTTCTCTGCAGCATGCAGCTTTGCCTTCTTCTTGGTGGGGCCGGAGCCCTCGAAGACCTGCCCGTTAACCTCCACGGACATGACGAAGAGCGGGGCGTGCACGGGCCCCGTCTGGGAGAGCAGCGTGTACTGCAGGCCGGGCTTGATCTCGTTCAGCTGCATCAGTGCATTCTTGGGCAGCACGGGCCCTGGCGCTTTCCTCCGCTTCTTCAGGCGGTACCTGGAGTGGCCATTGCTGCCCTCCTCCAGGGGCCGCTTCCGGCCAGTGCCACTGCTGCCCCCACCAGGGAGCTGCAGGCCCTCACCAGGCCCAGGGGCACTGCCGTCCTTGGGGGACACGATGTCCAGACTACGGTTCTCCTTGATGTCAGTGCTGCTGGAACCTGTGGTGCCCAGAAAGAGTAACTTGCAACGCCTTCGTTGCAGGACCTTGTAAATGCAAAATTTACAGATTCCTTGGCCTCTTTGCCACGGTGAGTGGTGTGTGTGTGCCCTGCTCCTCCCTGCAAGCCTGAGCAGGCCCTTCCACCAGAGAACTGACAGCCTCGACACTGCGCCCAGCAGTGGCTCAGTGGCCACCTAGCTCCCCTGTGGCTTCTGCCTAAAGGGCCGGTTGAAGAAGTGGTTCTGGGGGTTGAGCCCGGGGTGCTCAGCCACAGGCCACGTTTCAGTCCTTTTGTTTTCTCTGAGACAGGGTCTGGCTAAGTAGCTGAGGGCATCACTAAGTTTCTGAGGCTGGTCTTAAGCCTGCAGTCCGGCCTCAGCCCCCGGAGCTGCTGGGTCACAAGCCTGTGCCACCTTGCCTGGCAAAGGGTAAAGAATTTTAAAAGTTTTTCTACTGAGAATATTCCGAATCATCCAGAAATACTTTATTCAATCTTTTCTAAATATGAGACATAAGTTAATCCTCCGAAGTCCCCATTAATTAGTCTGTGAAATGGCAGCGTGTCGGGACAGACAGATGCCCCGTTCACCCAGGGAGGCCCTCTTGCCCAAGGGCACCCACCCCACGATGCCCCTGAGTTTTAAACTGCGGCATCTCTCACAAGAGGAAGCAGCACTTTAAAACACATCCACAAATCAATTAGTTTTTCAGTTTAAAAATAGTCAACCCATATATGTGACCATTTCATTTAGTTTATAATTCAAAAAAGCTGTTTACATAATTATATAAAACACTATGACTTTTTAGAGATTATTTTTGAAGGATACGACTTTATTTCTGGTATTCATTTGAAATTTTTCATTATAGGCAGGGATCTTTACCTCAGAACTCTTAATACGTTCCATGATATAAAAAAATACAAGCACAAAGTACAAGACTGCTGTGAACAGGCCTCATAACTACGTCTGGCCGTTCTATATTTTAAACACAACTCTCTGGTGGGCCTGCAGAATGATCTACTCGTCCACCCTTCAGAGCCACGTCACAGACTTTAGAACTCTGGAACTCTAAGGCAAGAGGACCATGGCTCTGATTTTAAGGGGAAAGGAGCACTCGCTCTCCTGTGCAGGTGGACAGAGGCACAGCGGCTCTGGCCAGCGCCACAGGACCCTGTGCGAAGCCCCCACTCGCCCTGGGGGCCTGGGACCCGCTCAATCCCAGGTGCTCCTGGAACTTGAGCAGTGCCCAGGTGGACTTGGGAGGTCACACCCTGTGAGCCCGGGGGGGGGGTGCTCCTGCTCCTGGCACTGAGGACCCGGGAAGGCCCTGGACGCTGCCCTGCACCCCAGGCGCTGGCTGAGACCTGGGCTTCCCTCCACGGCCGAGTGACACACACACCACTCCTCCAGTCCACAAAGCTGCCGGAATGACAGAATTTCCATTTATAACATCCTCCAGCAAAAGGCCGGTAGGTTACTCCTTTCGGAACTCAAAGGAAGAAAAGGTTAAAAGAGAGAGCCCACATGGATCAGAGGTCAGCAAGGGCAGCAAGGACGGCAGGGCCAGCTGTGCACAGGCCTCCGCCGCTGCACAGGACATCAGCAGGGAGACCCCGCGGGTCGCCGGACGCCTCTGTAGACCCACAGCCAGTGGCCAGTCACCCCCAACAGCGGCCTCCACAGTGTAGAGACCACAGGACAGCAGCTCCCGCCCGGTCCCGCCCACTCCAGGGCCTCCTCCGTGGCAGAGGCTGGGGAGCTGGCCGCCTTCTACCCAGGACCCCCAGGCACAGGAGGCGAGTGCGACCTGCGAAAGACCCGTCCTCACGGTGCCTCCGGGACAGACGCCTGCCTGGCCCCCGCCAGCTGCTGCCCTTCAGAAGGACGGACGTGGAGCCAGGGCGCTCCGTGTTGGCTTAGACCCTGGCTCACCTTCTCAGGAAAATGGTTGGGGAGGGTTCTCGTCAGGGGGCTGCCACAGGAGTCACCCCAACACACGGCTAAGGGCCTTCTGAAATGAGGCCACACTCACTCTCAAAACCTGGCAAAACCAGAAACGGCAGAGGAACTGGCAGCAGAACCCTACGCCTGCGTTTTGAAAAGCTCTCAAGGGCAAGACTGAGGAGGACAGTGACCTGAGACACACCACGTCCACCCGCCCTCAAGGCAGGAGAGACCGACAGTCCCCACGCAGGGCAGCAGGGGCACAGGCACTTCTGAGGGCTGCTGGACTCGGGTGGCCAGCAAGAGCAGGGCCACGGCCTCTGCTGGTTTGGTGTGGACTCTCAGGAGGTGCACAGAGCAGGTGTTAGTGGACGTCACCACTGCTGCAAAAGGGGACCGGCACACGAGGCTGCAGGCACTCCTTGAGACGGAAGCACCCAAGCACCAACACAGGTCAGCCAGGCAGGCATGTACGTCGGCCAGGCGCACACGTCTGTCAGCTGGGCACGCACACCCATCAGCCAGGAACTTAGTCAGCCGGGCACGTCCATCTGTCAGCTGGGCAGGTACATCCGTCAGCCGGGCACGTCCGTCTATCAGCTGGGCACGTCCATCTGTCAGCTGGGCAGGTACGTCTGTCAGCTGGGCAGGAACATCCGTCAGCTAGACACGTAGGTCCGTCAGCCAGGCACATATGTCTGTCAGCTAAGTACGTACGTCTGTCAGCCGGGCACGTCCGTCTGTGGGCACCTAGGTCTGTCAGCCGGGCACGTCCGTCTGTGGGCACCTAGGTCTGTCAGCCGGGCACGTCCGTCTGTGGGCACCTACGTCTGTGGGTACCTAGGTCTGTCAGACAGAAACACGACCTCGTCCCCTGACGGCCTGCACACGCTCCTGCCTTCAGCCCTGGGATGGAGCAGCACTCTCCACACCTGTGACAGTGTGTGACAGAAGGAGCCTGAGGGGCTGGTGGCCCAAAGGATGGTGTGCAAAGGAAAGGTCTAGAAGTGCTGGCCCCAATTCCCAGACCCCGGGAGGTCACTGGAGCTGGAGATGGTGAGACCCTCCCAGAGGCAGGAGCTGACCGTGCCCCGGCCTGCCCAGCAGCCAGGCCCCCAGGTCAGTGCAGGGGACATCTCTGAGTGCCCAGGACCACGCTGTGGCACACCCTCACAAGCCGTGCAGACTTACGGGCTGCACACCTGGAGGCACATTTCCCCCAAAATGACAGCTGGTGACGAGAACGGAGTGAAACCTGCACAGGGGACTGGAGGGAAAGACCCCCTCATGCACCACAGAGATACGGAAGAGCGCGCCACCGCCAAGACCCACATCGGCGTGCCCGGGCGGTCGTGCCGATCAGGTGGGCAGACCCCGAGTCGGACGGGACGCTATCTGCCGGGCACTGCGCGGCGGGCCCAGGTCTTACTCATGTTCTCTTCATCTTCTAGATCCATGGCAAAGTGCTTTTGAGAGTTCTTGACTGGCGGAGGCCGTTTCTGTCTGAAAGACAGCAAGGAAACAAGGCTTAGTGCGACGGTCACGGAGCGGAGGCAGGGGTCCTGGCTCTGCCCTGTCTCCTCGCAGCACCCGAGCACCCAGGACCCCAGCTGGGACCCGCGAGGAGGACAGCGGAGGGCAGAACAGGGTCACAGCCAGGGGCCAGGACCTCACGCTCCACTTGGGCAGAGCAGGGCGTGAAAAACTGGGGACCAAGGGGTAACCCACCTGAGGGCGAAGCCCAGTGATCACACCTGCTGACCACACAACTCAGTGAGTCCCCCCACCAGTGACTGTCCAGTTTTCACCCTGGGTCAATGTGAGGCTTGGAATGAAGCAAAGGCACACCACCGGCCGAGCTTCACCCAGTACTGCACTATGAAGCAGCTGGACAGACCAGCAAGTATCCAGGTGACCCACCAGCCTCAGGTGACCACGGCTGGATTCCCAGGAGAGACCCAGGACTCGCTGCGGAACAGGTGCTGTGGCTGCCCAGTCCCTAGCCACTCTGCACAGTCTCCACCCAGCATCTCTGACAGCCTTCATGACTGTGTGACAGTTGGTGACAAAGAACCTCAGCACACTGCACCCAGGACAGGACCTGAGGTTCTGCAGCGATGCTGCTTTTGTGCAAACAGAATGCCCACTATAAATATAAGAAGGCACATCCACTGCTTCAGAGCATGGTGGCTTGTGGCCAGGCGTGGGGGTATTGTCCTGTATGGAGGATGCGGGTCCTCGGGCGACGGTCACTGGTGCGTGTCCTGAGTCTCACTGCATTCCTGGTGAACGCGCTGTGAGGACGCCTGGGCTGCAGAGCTCTCTGCGGGGGCTGGTGGCACGGTCTTGTGTCATCGCCACCTCAAGAGGACACCAGAGAACTAAGCCAGGCAGACGCAGCCACGGGGGACTCAGCAGCACACGCTGCATCTCGTCTTGATGTTTCCGTGATGGAAAGTCAACACGCGTGCCTCAGCGTAGTCTCAGACGGGAGGTCAGAAGCGTGGCTGGCAGGACTGGTGCCCTCAGCAAGGGGGGAACTGGGGCCTCTCGGCTGGGAGGGCAGCTGGGAGAGACGGGAGGTGACCCAGGGCCCAGCCAAGCTGGGCGAGAGGTCGGCGCGGGCCAGTGAACAGAGCCGTGGCCTGGCGCAGCTGCAGGTCAAGGGGAGCACCAGGCACCCTGCTTGACCTCGGGGCAGCAAGGGAGCCAGTCCACAGCCCCTCCTGCCTGCTGAAATGCTGTGCCAAGGCCGGGGCTGCCCCACAGGGAGAGGGAGCAGAGTGCCCCTCCCTCCACCATGCCCACCAAGAGCCCTGCCCTGGGTCTTAAACAGACACAAGGTCACCGAAAGGCAAAGAGAGGGCACATGGAGAGCAGCCCGAGTCCCCCGACAAGGAGCTGGAGCACCAGAAACCCGGAACAGCAACAGCACAAACTCACGCAGGAGCCCACGCACACCAGGTCCCTGGCCAGAGGACCAGGAGAGGGCAGGCCCCAAGAGGACAGCCCAGACGGGACCCTCGGCCCCAGCCCCCGAAACCCGGCCCCAGGCGGAAAGAGGCCCCAGGGCCTGCTGGGGGTCGGCCTGGCAGTGGGGCTGCTTCTGTCCTGTAGGCGGCAACAGGCTGTGCCCTCCCGCTCCCAACCCCACCTGGAGGGGACAGGCCACCTGTGCTGCCACTGGAACTCTGAAAGGGGCAGCAGGAGGCCCTCAGCAGGAGGAGTCACAGGGCCAGCGGGGCTCAACACCACAGGAGGCAGCGCCCCTCCCCTCACAGGCAAAGCCGGGAGAGTGACCAAGCATGGCAGGGGTGGGGGGGTTCTGTAGCGACACCAGCTGCACTGGGTCAGGCAGGTCTCAGGCGGAGGCTCACTCCGGTCGGTGGGTCGGTCAACATGGGCAGTGGGAAGGCCCCGCCCTCAGGCAGGAAGAAAGACCCTGGGGGTGAGGACGGGCAGGTCCCGGCAGGAAGGGTGCCCAGTGCAGGTCTCCTGGCCCTGACACACGCCTTGTCTCCTTGTCTCCTACTTTTTAGGACTTTACGTAAGTCCTAAAAAGGACCAGGGACCGTGTCACAGTGGAAGGTGGCCACACAGCAGGCCTGCAGGCGGAGAGGCTGGGACCTCCGCTCCCGCACCTGCAGATGCAGCACTGGCAGAAGGTCGGGGCCCAGAGCAGCGGCCGCCTGGCTCAGCGCACGCTGCCTCCTGAACGGCCTCCAGAGGTGCAGGGTCAAAGCCTCACCGAGAGCCCAGAGGCAGGAGGAAAGAAGGGCTCCACTTCCAGCCGCACTCAGGATGGGATGCACCTGGGGCAGGGGAGGTCCGCCCACAGCGGGAGGCCAAGGGCCCAGTGGCACAGGACCTCCTTCACGGGGCAGTGAGCAGGTTTTCATGTTCACGTGAAAAAAGGAAAGTCCAAGTAACCAGAACAGTGTGAATCGAAGGAAAGGACCCAGGTGGGCCCCAAGGCCACGTGTGCTGTGCCAGTCCCAGACCAAGGCGCACGCAGAGGCACCTGGTGCTGAACTGGGCGCCTCCAGTAGACGCCACGGGAAGACGGAGCCCCAGGCCTGCTGGAGAGCTACCCCCATGCCCTTTGCAGCTGCAGAACAACAGCTGTGCACAGTCACCTCCTGCCCAACTCTCACCTGCAGAGGGGAGCCGCGGTGTCCCTTGGCAGAGAAAAGACGCTGTGGGTGCTCCCCGGGGCTCAGGGTGCCTCGGGCCTGGAACACCCCCCACCACGCTGGGGGAAAGGCTACCCTGGAGCCACCAAAACTTACAGGTCTTTAAAGAAGTGGAGGCGAGTGGTACCCTGATGAAATGACCAGGATCCCCACACCTCTTCCCTCGCGGAAGGCGGTGCTAAGTCAGTTTCACATTTTCTGTCCGGCCTCAGGGGTCTCGTTTAAACAGCTGTAAAATGCAAACTCGCAGAGAGGACTGCACCTGGGCTCCTCTGTGCGACTCTCACTCCAAACCCACAGGTGGGGGGCCAGAACCACTGTTCAGTGGAGAAGAAAACCAGGACGAGCGCCGGCTGCTCCACTGCGACTGCAAACACAGTCCCCATGGGGCGTCCGGGAAGGCAAAGCCTGCCACCAGCACTGGCCACACCTGCCCAGGGAGCCACGTCGTCCTGGTTCCTGTTCTGCTCTCAGTGCTGTCCGCGTGGAGACCCCGTGGAGCGTCTCCACAGATGCCCAGGCCCACGGCCCAGTTGGCCCTGGCGATCACAGGCGGGGTGCACACAGCCTCTCGTGGACGTGACTCCCAGTCGGAGCAGAATGGGACGCGAGGTGAGCGCAGCAGCCGGCATACTGCGAGGTACTGACCCAGGGAGCCAGGGCGGAGCAGAAAGGTGCACCAAGGGCGGAGCACAGAGGGGTCAGGGCTCAGGTGACGGGGGACACCAGCAGCTGCTAAGGACATGGACCAACAAGGAAGGCGACGACAGGAAACTCAGAAGAGACTGGCACACGGCCCTGGGTTCCGTGACGGACCAGCCACCCATGGCCATGGCATGGGGGAGTTCAAGGAGCTGGGGGTGTGTGCAGGAGGCCTGGGTTCTTGGGGACCCTACTGGGGCCCACTAGGACAGCAACAGTGCTGACACAGACACGTGTGGCCCCATGTCCCTGCCGTCCCTGCTCTATGCACAGTGGGAGTCCAGCCGGATGCCCAGAGCCCACCTGCTCCTCCTCCTCCCTCAAACCACACGCCAGCCCCTCTCCCATCAGGCTGGAAGATACGTGCCACCCTGATGGCCCTCCCCCAGCAGCCAGGGTGGTCTGCATGGACAGAGGCGACCGGCACACACACCCACATGTTCACATGGCAGGCTGGGTGAGTATGCCCTGGTCCTGGAGTGTAGGGACCCCGCAGGAGCTGACCACAGCTGTCCTGAGACACGGTCACCATGAAGCACGAGAGCTCTGGCCTGTCCACCTGCACAGTCCTCAGCATCCTAGAGACAGACAGAACCAGTGGAGCCACACAGGAGCTCCTCAGGACAGCACCGGGAAGTGCAGTCACCTTTCACATTGCCGCCACTGTCCAGGCCCACTGCAGTTTGAGCAAAAGCACCTTCGTCCTGACCACACCAAAGCCCTCTCCCGCTGGACCCACCTGTGAGTCCACTACCTGACCACGCTGGTCAGAAAGCCCCCAGTAAATGGCCCCCTTCGTGGCCCTGGATCTGCGTGCCTGGCCCCTCTGCCTACAGCAGCTGGTTCTTCGACACCAGGTTTTCCTGACACACGGCTTCCTTAGAAGCCGAGACCCCGGCTCTCAAGTCAGAGACCTGCAGCGCTCACAGCCACCTGCCAGAGACAGTCAGCCTCGCCACTCCTCCCGTGCACGGCCTGCCTTTCCTGTGGGCTGGGAGGCCCGTGCGGAGGGCCACTGGGCCTGCTCCGTCTGCCCAGCACACCTGTGGCTGCCTGTTCCCAAGAGGCACAGCTCAGCAGCACCTGCCAAACAGGCACCTGACACCCCGGCACTGTGTCAAACACACAGGGCACACTCCCGGCCCACATGGCAGCTCCTCCTCCCACATGGCTGCCACGGAGGGAAGGGCACAGTGCCTGGGCCATCAGTCCCCAGAATGCATGGGTCTCAGTGGGCCACCGCAAGCAGGTGCTCTGCTGGCTCTTGAGGTCTTCAACATGGGGCCGCAGGTCAGTCTCCATCAGGGAAGATCGCAGATGTCCACTAATCCCCATTTGTCACTTCTATGGGAAGGTACCAACTGGAAGCAACTTGTCCAAGATGGCCAGCTGCTGTGATGGGCCAAGATGTTCCTGGAGTGCAGCCCACTGTGCCACCAGAGTGGCCGAGCACCACTGGGTTCACTGAGACGGACAGTGCCCACAGACGACCCCAACAATAGTGCCACTCACACACCATCTAACACACAGCCTCTCAGGAGGCCCAGGAGGCTTCCAGTACAGAGATTGCAGACACAAAACCAGGAATGTTCTGCTTATAGTTAATGA